GAACCATGGCGATCGAAGAGAGGGAGTAGTACTTGCATGATTCATTCCAGTATTGACCTCGATTGCGCCATTTATCCATCATTTGTTCTCCATCCAACGAGCCAGGGTCTCTTGCAACAGACGCATTTCCCTCTAGGACGAGGAGGAAGAAAAAAAAACTAAACCCGAAAACCGGAGCTTGATTTACGAGCTTCATAAAAGCTGTTCCGTTTGATCCGTCTGAGACGGAATTAGAGAAAGATGTGGGTACCCTCAGATTCCGGGAGGTTTCGGATTCGTGAAATTCGGTGAGGAAGAGACGGTCCTCGAGTTCTTCGTCCATCGTCGGATCGAGGACGGTGGTCGCCGGATGGAGGACGGCGACCGCCGGATCGAGGACGGTGACCGCAGCGATGTGTCTCCGGCTACCGTCGCGATCCCACTTCATCAACACTTTGTGGTACCTGAATGCCTTGGATTTCTCGGTGTCTGTTTTCCTTCCGTGATTCGATAGGGAGTTGAGGGTCGTGGGCGAGACACCTTTCCGCCTCGCCTCTTCTGTCCGGACCGACAAAACAGCATCTTTCATTTTTTTGTGTAATTTCCACAACCGGCCTCGGATTTTTACGACAGGCCGAGCGCGATAACGATTGACAAGTGTTCTGGCACTCCAAGGACTCTCGATCGAATGGGGAAATACAAATACAAAACAAAATTCGACCTTGAACGACCTGCCCTCTTTGTCTTCGCTTCGCCCCATTGTCTTCCGATTCCGCGCGGATTTCTGGGCAGCAGACGACGAGATTCCGATTCCATGAAATCCGCGTCGCCAATGAAATTCAATGGAGAGACGCGGTGAGGCTGTCAATGAACCTGTTACCCCAGGGACCTGTAAATCACGAACTCCGACCCCGATTTGTCCCTCCCCTCCCCCTCCCCTCCCCCTCGCCCCCCCTCTCCCCACTCGATAAGACCGAGGGAATAATTGATAGAAGGCACTGAAATGTGATCCTTCTTGCAAGACAAAGAAGGGAAACGCACAGACACATGCTCTCTTTCTCATAGCTCGTATTCTCTTTCCGTTTCCCCTCCGACTGCAAAGAGAATCTCCCACATGGCATCGAACCGATTCCAGGAACCTTTTTCGCGATGCGAAATCCTCATTTCGTTGGAATTGTTCCCAGTGTGAATCGAGTCGGCGAGAGATCTCGATTTTATTCCGGCTGCGTTTCGTTTCGCAGGAGGAAATGAAAGCCCGGAAATGATTGAATTCCCGTTCATTATGCCTCGCTCCCCCTCTCCCTATTTATGTCATCGGCTCCGTCCCTCCCTATTTATGTCATCACTCCCGTCCCCGGGGCTCGTCGATTAAAAGTTTGTGATTGCCGTCTGACTGCCTGAATTACGGGCGGACGCCGTCGGCGGAAATTTGGATTTATGGCCACCGTCGTGATTTCGTGCTTCGATGGGGCCCGCAGAGTGCGAATATTGCATGGGACATGAATTTTCGATGGCCCACATCCGCACGGAAAGGAAAGGAGGAAAAAATTAAAAGGAAGTAAAAAATCGACCGTGTTCCCCTCCGGTGGTTTACGTGACAAGAAGGAACTTTACAGCATGAATGAGATAATCGTCTCGACACCTGCAGACCCAGATCCTGCCGACGCGAATCGGCCGCATCGCCAACGGCAGGTGCAAGTGTGAAATTTTTCATACCGAGCCAATGCGAAATGAATTCCTGCCCCGATCGAGTCCTTCCGACGCGATCAATCAGGTTTTCGAGCTCCACGTAGTCTTCCTCGTCGTTCGTCTTTTCCTCTGCAAAAAAAAAAAATAGCGGGAGCCAGGATCAATGGCCTTTCACTGCGTTCAAAGCAGTCAGCACAGACTCGACACGTCTGGATCTCGTAAATCTCGAAGCGTGAGAAAACAGGAAGAAATGCGGTCAGTTGTTTTTTCTCACCTGAGTGGAAGTTCACGGCTCCGGATTGCTCCTGTACGTCATTCAGCTGGAAGCGAAAGATATATATTTTTCAGCGAGTAATACGAGCCCCTCTAGCGGAACAAAGGAGATGAACCCTTTCTCGGATTGCCCCTTTGTCTTCCCCCAAAGAAACTCACCGTCTTCTCGGCGCGGAGGATCCTCGCCGCCCCGAAAATGCCTGAAAACGAGAAGGGACCGACCATTCATGCACCGAGGAGGTACTCGTCCCTGCCGTACCGAGTAGGTACTCGTACTGTACGGTACTCAACAGCGGCGTTCGACTCGGACAAAACGGCTCTTGCACACAGGAAGCAAGAAACGGATTGATACATCGGAGGGCGTCGTTGTGGCTAATTGAAACCCTCTGTGCCTGCTGGCCCTGGACCAAAGCCGTCTAATGAAGACAAATCCAATCTCCTTCCCTCTCTCCATTCACGTGATTCATTGTACTCCCTTCTTCCTACCCCATATCCCTTCATTCGAGACATTCTCTCTTTTACTGCGACTGACACCTCCCGATAGGGTGCGAAAGGGGGTCAGAAACTCCCTCTTCCGACTCTTTTCTGTCGCCCGTCGAGAGCAGGGGGGAACTCAAAATGGGGAGCCATACATTCCAGATTGAATGGCCTGGCTTTTCCCCGTGTTATTATCTTTTTAGAGGAGACTCGGTGCGCCTCGTTTTTGGGTGGAGACTTCTCTCTCCCCGTAAATAGAAGTCGCTGCCACCGGGAATTAAAAGGAGCCTGTCCTTTGTTCGGCCGACTGGAAAGTTTCGCAGTCATCATTGGATGGACTCTTTCTTTCCTTCTTTTTTCCGCTTTTTTTTCACCCCCTCTCACTGGTTCCGGAAGAGTCCACCTGTCGGGGAGAGAGAACCTTTCGCCCTTCTGGCGATCCGACACACCTTTCCATTAATGAGGTGCCTGGAATAAACCGAGCAGAATTTATGATAGGCTGGCCCCAAGTTTGAAAAGGCAGGGGACGTGCCTGGCCTGAAGAATTGTTTATTTTCTCTCTTCCCCCGCCCCGTTCTTTCGAGGGAAGGAAAAGGAAGTATAACGTATGGCAGGGACCCCCCTCCTCCACCCGCAAAGCGAGACGACATATCCGCGTCATCGCGGATCCGTGACTTCCCTCTCCATCGATCCACTTATCGTAAACGTCCACGTACCTGAGAATAAGAGGCAGAAGAGGAGACAGGGAGACGAGGACCAGGGCCCCATTCCATGTGCGAATCGCGTGGCAGGGATCAAAACGGAATGACTATGGGAGCCCATAGGGACGCACGAATCTCCCTGGGAATCAATGCCCTTCCCGCCTGCGCTCCTCTCGACTATTACTTCTCTCTCTTTCCATGACATTTATTTCTTTACCTCTTTTTTATCTCCATCTGATATCTCGAGGCTTGCAGATGACATGAAAGTGCACACGAAGGAAGGGGAGAAGGTCGTATAAAAGGTATGTTTTCCACCATATCGCCTCTATCCGAGCGAGCTCTTTGAGGGCAGACGAGACGGCCGAAAATAAAAAAAAAAACCTGTTTCGCGTTCCTCCCGGTTGTCGAGACATAATTGAGTGGCTTTAAAGCCGGAGATTTCCAGCATCCATATTCATGAAAGTCCATGATCTATGGTTACGTTAGGGACAAGATGGATGTAGGGGGACTTCCCAACATGGAACGACGGTTCCGCCTCGCTTCCGCTCCCAAGGACAGTTGCAAATATGCCAAAACCGCCAACAGCACTCAAGCACTCAGCAGATTTGACGGAAAGCGAATCTCTGTCGATGATAGATACTAGCGTCTTCCGTTTCCACGGCTAACGCGCATCTGTCTTCCGGTTTTTTTTTTTTTTGTTCCTTCCATCATATGACCCAAGTCTCCTTGGGACTGCGAGTCCAAGGCCTCGTTCGTCTCGTCTCGTGAATTCCTTTCACCATACGGGGAAGACATGAAGACAGAATCCATCTCGCCTCCCCCGCGGTTCGTTAATGGAATTTCCTCCGCCGAGAATTTGCATGTTTATAACCGAGATAAGGAACACGGTCGATCGTGATCGTTTTACAAGTCAGGTACCTTTTTTTTTATTAATATCCACCAGAAAATGATCAACAATGACAACAATAGAATCGAGTGATTCACTCTTAACAATAGAGACCTTTGCTTGCTTTTTTTCTCCACTGTAGAGAGGATTGTAGGGGGAACTTCAAGATTTTTCCCGCGATCTGTTGCAAGCTATTCTAACATGAAAGAATGGATTGTCGTGTACCAAGGAATGAAATAAGGGACAGTGGGAAATTCGACAAAATTCCACTTGGGGCCGACCTTAGACACATGTGACCGCACAGGGTGAAACAATTTTGAGAACGCGATGGGTCCCTCTGCTTGTCAAAACTGCTTGAAATCACGTAAAAGACGCCGAATGCAGTAAGAAATTTCAAGAAATAAAAGAGGGATAGACCTAATAAGATTCTATGTAGGTTAAAAACAACAGGATTGTCGGGCTTCATCGGAGTAAATAAAAAAAGTATCAATATTCCACTTGAATTAGGTCATCGGTGCCGAAAGTGGCCTGCGCGCGATGCAGATTTCTCAAAGTTGTGCGATCGAAATTCCAAATTCATAGTACTAATTAATACTGGCTCGAACGTCAGTAGAAGTAAATTGAGAGCTTGCCTCAGGTCTTATTACTAATAAATTTGAAAGCAGCGATGTCGCACTGGCCCATACCAAAGTGGCTGCCGTGTCCTGCATCCCACAGGTTTTTAAGTGAAGGTTTAGATGAGTGGCCCCCGGAGAGAAAGTCTATGTCCATATGCTCCGTGAGTTCAAAAAAGTTCGAGCACTACTAAAGTAGATGATCAATCAGATTTCAGCTAAGTTCGTGGGGGGGGGGGGGCTTGAATTCACCTTCGCTCTGGGCATTCCATCTACCGTAGAATCGGCCTTGCAACCTACAATCCAGTCTACAGTAAGAATAAAAAATAAAAGTACCGTAACCGCGCGACTAAACTAAACGGATTAGGCTTTAGGAGTGACGTGTATGGCCCTCGTTCCGTGGGCATTGAGGGACATGGCGACGTTCAGTCGTCCCTGTTCGTTCAATGCATTAAAAAGACTGTGAAAAATGATGTCGGGGACGGAATTGAAGACGAGTTCCAATCGGTCGCCTTTGAACTTGTCCGCAACAGCCTTGGCAAGGACATCCACATGACTGGAGGCCACGGCTTCCTTGCTCACTGTCACGCTTTGGAGTTCCATCGCATTCCCCAACACCAAGGTGAAGAACAGGGTTTCCAGGCCGTGTTTTCCCAGACCCGTTCTCACCGACACGTCTGCGGTGTCCAGACTTCTGATTCCCATGGATTTCAGACACCGGCCCAGGGATTTCAGGGTCTTGCCGGGAGATTTCAAATTCAGCGTCCAGCCTGCAATGCCCAGCTGCTTCAGTTTTGGCAATTGTTTCACGTCCGTGAAGGCCTTCACTGCTCCTTTATCGTCCAGAGGACATTTCTGTCCTTCACAGAGTCCACAGTCGAGAGAAACCAAGTTCTGGAACGGGGATAGAAACGATGCAAGGCGAGGTGGAAGAAAAACATCATGGCGTCGATTGTTCCGCATTTGGAGTCGAGCATTTTTCAGGTTCAGGAAGGTCAAAGACGGGACTTCGTTGACATTTAAGGCACTCTGGATGTCCTCACTGGGCGGGAACGAGGAATCGTCCACGGTCAGCTGAATATCACAGCCCTCCAGGTCCAGATTTGACATATTCGTGCTGGCCAGGAATGCTCTGAACACGTCCATGGAACGGGGTTCCTGCTCCACAGACGCGAGAAAAAAAGGAAAAGTCCATTTAATGGCGAGTGATAACGTCGAGACACGGGGTCCATTTATTCTCTTTGCTGTTGCTTATCTCTCAACAGGGGACCAGTCACTCATGAAACTTGATGAGCTAGGCCCCTGCTAGCGCCACAACTGTTCTCCGTACGTTTATTCTTCCTCATCTAAAAGGTGCCGTTTCGAAAGGATGAAGTAACGAGTTGACAGCTGTCTTAAAATTTTCCTATTTCACTACCGTTACTTCAGTACTTATAGATGGAGAAGTAATAGAATATAATAGTATCATAATCAAATAGCTAAGTCCTTGAAAACAATACAAATAATTTAATTTGGTTAAAAACGTATCAATTTACTTTATTTTAATTGCATCTGAAACAAAAAGGTACATAAGTCGTTGAAATTTTAAGTACTTAGGAAACACTGCGAACGGGGTTACCGCGATTAACATGGGGATATCCCCGGGCAAACGTGGCCCAGACAAGGACATGAATTTCAAAACAAGATGTTGCCAAGGCTCGAGAGAAAGCTTTGTATTCAGTTCTCCGTCATTGACGAGGTGGATTATTTATGATGATGAAGCGGAATAATGGAGTGGAGCTAAATAATCTTCCTCTCTCGTTCCTCGTGGGAGGAGCATTAATGAAGATGGAATGGGGGAAACTCAACTCACCTCGAGCTGAAAGCTCCATCCCTTGAGGCTCAACAGGCGGAGATTCGCGGCTCGGGTCAACACTTGGCACAAGCATTGAAACGAGAAATCGTCCAAGGTCACGTGGGAGGATGAAAGGTCGAGCAGTTGAAGGCAGACGTTCTCCTGAAGCCCCAAGAATAAGGGGAGGATGTCGGGGACCTTGGACACGCCCTGCAATGTCAACGAGGTCAGATTCTTCGCCTTCTGCAGGGTCTCGCCCAAGCACATGAAATCCTCCTTCCTCAGGCTCGCATTACTCAGGTTTAGATTCTGTAGCCTGCAATCTGGGGACTGCAGCTGAGTGAAGATGTCGTGGAAGCCGAACATGTCATGCTCCTTGGAATCACAGACCGGTAAGGGGTAATTCACTTTTCTCAGAGTGTTGTATTTGCGGAGCGTCCCGGCATCGATGCTGCTCACGCTGCGGATCGTCCCATTCCCCTGAGACTGAGATTGAACGCGTCCGTTGTCCCAACAACTCTGGGGTTGGGATTGAAGACGTCCTTCCCAAGGGCCCTGATGTTGGGTCGGGGATTGAAGACGTCCGTTGTCCCAACAATTCTGGGACGGAAGACGCGTGTCCCAAGAGCTCTGAGACTGAGAGTCAGTCACAGGATCCACCTCCTCGACGGCAGGTGACAAGGTCCAGGCGTGATTAAGGTTCAGAGCCAACATGGGAAGAGTCCTGATGAGTGAGGCCAGGGCTTGGTAGGCCTCTTGACCACAGACTAGATGGGGCAATGATAGGACCTGGAGCTTACCCTGGAAGGCCTGAATGGCTCGACACAAGGACACTGCCATGTCCGTGGACATCCCCACGTTCATCACCAGTTTCTGCAGGGAATGACTTGCCTTGTCGTGAAGCAAGGCACTGATCACAGCCTTCAAAACGGGTCGCAATCCCTCGTCTTCTTCCAGACGATTTAGGCTCACGTCCAGGCACTCCAGGTTCTTTTTCTCCAACAGGATCGCAACGGATCGACTGATATGTTGGACGGTCGTGGCTTGGAAATCGTGATGAACCGATGTAGAAATGCGAACTTTTCGGATGGAATCGCTTCCACTCACGGCCCGGATCAGGGATTCCAACTTCTGCTGGTCATAACCCCGGGAATCCTTGAAGACGATATCGATCGCATGGACCTTGCACGCCGGGGACTCCACGACGCTCTTCCAGCCGTCCAGTTCGATGTCGTCGACGGTGACTTGGACCTTCGACCTCACGTTGGCCAGGTCACACAGCTGGGTGATCACGTGGGGATGAGACCCGGATTCCTTCAACAGAATGAAGAGGGTCCTCATCGAGATGGCAGAGAACTTGAGGCGTTGGAAGATGATCCCAGCCTCTCCGCCCAACGTTCCGGCCAGGAACCTCAAGACCTGCATGCCGAGGTCGTTGAGGTCGTCCATTGTGTCCACATAGGTGAGAATGAGGACGAGGCTTTTGTCGAACTTCCCACTCGAGAGGCTCCCCATGTATCGTGCCGCCAAGTAAGCCATGATGCATTCGTGGATGAAACGATAGCTTCGGGACTTCTTCTTTCCCCGTTTCCCCAGGGCCCAACTCCGGACCAAAAGACCCCGTTCCACGGCTGTACCCAGACCCTCGTTCCGGATTTCGTCCTCCGTCACAGACGCCTTGTTGTCCAGGACGACCTGTAGCGCCAGGCGACCCAGAGTCTTCAACATCGCCTCGTTCTTTTCACTCAGGGTCTTCGACATAGCCTCACCATTCCCTTCGATCGCGGCTGCGGGGGCGGATTTAAGAAACACTTCCTGAAGCAGACTCTCCATCGCCTTCGTCAGACTGTTTTCCGGGAACTTCGGATCTACTTCGAATAGCCGACACATGAGAAAGCACATGAGGGGAGAGGCCATGATGTAACTATAAGTCTCGTGCTTCACGATCCCCTTCTGAAAGAGGGCCTCGGCTTCGTCCACCTTATTCACACTCTTGAAATAGGAATAGACAAAGGGTCGGACGTATGAGAGACCAAGACCCTGAACCACAACCCGTTTTTCAACAAATGGCTTCAGCAGATCCGTGCACGCCGGAAGAGACGTGACGAGGACGTGGCTATTGGGATACAGAGTTCCTTCCATGAGCTCCAAAATTTCTTTCATATTTCCTTCGTCAAGCTCATCAAATCCGTCCAGCACGAACAGGACTTTGTCGTTGTAATCGTCCATGTAAGTCTTCACACTCTGTCTGGCCTTCTTGGAGTTGAGGGATTTGGGGAAGAACTCCTTCTTGATGTAGGAGCTGAGTTTACCATGGAAGAATCGAAGCTGGATGAGGAAAACCAGCTGGAAGGAGGAGAGATAGCTGGACTCCCCTTTGGCCCAATCGTAAGCCAGTTTCATGCAGAGACTCGTCTTTCCATAGCCCAGGTCCCCTTCGACCAAAACACGACGGAGCAGACCCTTCAACAACTTGTCCTGCAACTGAAATAGAATAATCGAATACAAGACTTGTCGCATTGTAGAACACGATTCCATACAATGGCAAAGAAAGGAAGAGCTTCGAAAGACGTGAGTTCAACGCCGATGATCTCAGTTGGAGATCCTCGGGGTCAAGGACAAGGTGAGTCCCATGCGTGACGGAGAAGCAAAGGCTAAGAAAATAAAAACAAAAAAAGGGAAAGTAATCCCAAACCCACCGAACAGGGCTGCAGGAGGTGTTGAATGAGGACTTTTTGCGAAGTCTTCCCCCTGGAATCCGACGGTGCGAGGCGAAGGCTAAGCTGGAGCTCCTCCAGATTCTGCCGGAAACCCTTGTCGCCCCAATCCGGAATGACGGTCTTGCCAAGACTGTCCAAATAGTGCTTTTTCAAGCGTTCCTGGACTTCCAAGACGGGTTCGGGGGGCCTCTGGCCACAGATGATGGCCGCTTCCCTCTCCCCGAATTCCATTGCTCCCTCCCTCTCTTTATCTCTCAATCTTCGCTTTCACCGATGCCTGGAATGACGGGGGACAGGTTCGGCGTGAAAAATGACAGAACGAAGATTCAGCCCAGAGGTAACGTCAGCCTGTAATAACCACCAATCCTTCTGATTGTGCGAACCGGGCATTACCGCTAACAAAAGAAGATCTCTGCAGGACCTCAGGCTAATTACGAGTGGGTTCCACGACCATCAAACAAACCGCCAATTATCTCCTTCCTATTCAAAGGAGGAATATGGTCTCACGCCATCGCGTGACTCCCTCGAAGGCTGACTGTCCCCGAAGCAAAATGGAAATCAGCACAGAAAGTCGTTTGCTCACCTTTGCAGAACGTCGAACGAGTTCATGCTCGGCGGAGAAGGGAGAGTGTTGTTCTGCACCTTCCCCTCTACTGTCTCACAGAGGGAACCTGTCCGGATGAAGAGGATCAGTCGGTTTAGGAAAATAAACCCAGAGAGGGAAGTGCATTTAGGCCTAGACCTGGGTTGAGATAAGCAGGACCCCGAGCCAGAAAGCCCAACGAAAGGGCAGCAAAAATAGAAAGCCAGAATCAACGAACGCTCCTTGGCCGGGATTATTTACCCTTGAACAATCACTCCCCTTCATTAATGGTATTCACAGTTAGTTTTTTCAAGGGAGTTGATAAATGACGCGTTAAGTTGATTCACGGACACAACGCATTTAATCTTGTTTACATGTGCAAACGATTGCACTGGCTTCACTGGCTTGGGGGTGTCTGCCTCTTTTATAACCCTGTCAACAGGTCCCCACATGCCGATCTGAATCCATCACTATCTATGACACAGTGAGGCCGTCACTAACACTATAGATGTGAAACCGCTGGAGGGGGCACTGATTTCAAACGCAGATACGCGTCACGGATGATGCTGATGAAGAGAACAGACACACCTGATAATTAGGGGGAAAGTGCATCGAATATGAATGCACTTGTGCCTCCCTCTCTGCATGAACACACGCACAAAGCCAGCAAAACCAAGGGAATGAGATCAGGAGCGTGGTGCGTGTGAGGGAGTGAGTGAGCGTGCGAGAAGGGGGAGGCAAGGCTCTCTCCCTCGGGACTGGACCTCGCTCTCTCGCTTTCTGCGTAGGGTCTGGTCGAGACTCCGGGACCGGTCGAGGGGGATCACCATCGCGTCTGCATGACTGGTTTCGGTGGCTTTCCCGCCTCAGGCCATGATCGCGGAGCTGCTTTGACAAACCAGCCTCGTCTCTCTCGGCCCCCCCTGTATTCAGATCTGAACAACCCTTCCATCTTAAGAGGTATTCCATAAATAGCACGCGCCACCTCTGCCTCCTGTTGCCGATCGTGATCATCGTCGATTACCTTGACCTCGAAGGCCTCTCTGTGACGGGTACTTCTGTTTCTTTTAATAGCATGCTAGCATTGAACGAGGTTGTGTCCTTCAGTTACAAGAGTCGATGTCTGTCTGTATCCGGGACTCAATTTCCGTTCCTTCGAATAGGTCCCAGATAACATCGTTGATCGATACTGTGATCGCAGTCCGCGTCACAGGATACTAATCCCCTCGTGAAAAAATGAAGGGGGACTGCGTTCGCAATGTGCTCCATGCACGCTGGACGGCCCATTAGCTTCTTCCAGGTTGCACCAAGAATTCATGGGGTATGGAGAATCGGAAATTGGAGAAGTAATGAGGGAATGGGATCCACTGGGCACTGGCGGCTGGCATGACCACAGGCTACGACCGGCCCTCGGCGCGGCATGAGAGGATAATCGGCCAGGCTTCTGTCTTCCAATTCTCGTGCTTCGCTCCATAGAGCTCGGGAAACAAAAGCTCCCATAATAAAAAAAAATGTATATATATACAGTATATATATATACCAGCTTCATCACGTGGAATTGAATGATAATTTGATGCGTTATAAAGGTTCTGAAATCAATCATATTGAGCGTTGCAATATTTATATAATAAAAACCCGATCTCTCATCACGCAGAAACTGATGAGTAATCGTGACTGTCACTGCGAAGTCGGAACCCAGACATATATTATTTTACCTTCATGATCGTAGTATAAAATTAGAACATTCTACTGCTAAAGTTTCCGTACCACCACTTAGGTATGGGCATTCATGAAAGTCATGATATCTAAACTTAGTCATTGATTATTCCCAGAATTCGAGAATTCGAACCAGATACTTGAACCCAAGGACCTACGACCCACCTATACGGCGCTGACTCGGACTATGCTGTGGAGGAGACCTGTAGACCGGGAGTTACGGAGCATTCTGGGCTGTGAGCAGAGACCGCCCTCTAATGAAGAGTAGAAGAAGCATGTGCACCTCCAGACGACTAAAGATCACAGTCCGCGTATATCCAGCGCTGGCTCACTACCTGGCGTTCTCCCCTAGCTGTCTCTCCTCAGCTCTTTGAAGGATTCTTTTAAAAACTACGCCTGGAATCTGGACGTGGCTGAAGGATAATGATTATTCTCTCAAAGAAAGTAATACTCTTTCGTCGGGGTTCATAAATGCAGAGGCCCATGATCTTTTGCATTGACATACGATGGAAGAACTCCGGGTTTTGACAACCCTGAGAACAACATCTTACGGCACGTCTAAACGTGTGCCTCTGCCTCATGCCATGTGACTTAAATTTTGTCTTGTCTATGGCTGTGATACTGTGTTTTATTAAAATTTTAAAGTAACTCTTGCCACTTCCTCTGGTGACATCAGCTAACATTGGATTTTGCCTTCCTTTCCGTAGGCTTTTCTACTCTACTTGCACATCATGAAAAGTGGTCGAGGTATGCAGAAATCTGAACGCCCTCTTCAAAGTCACGAGGATGCCATGTCCAATGATGCAGTCGAAGAGTTAGATTTCGATGATGGAAGGTTTGTATCCTTTGTAGGCCTAAGGGTGACAGAGATAGGCGTATTTTTCTTCTCAGTCTGGCTGGTTTCATTCTGAGTTGGCCTATCCTTGCCTCAACCTATGGTAACATCTATAGCCTGAGCTGGCTTGGCCCTAACTTTATTTTAGTTTTGGAGTCTTGGTCTCACAGGGCCTTTTAAAAAATTAATTTAGGTATAAGCCTTAAGAACCAAGCACAACTTGTCGTTGAGGTAACTTGATCTATATATATATATATATATATTTTTTTTATCAAGAGGGAGGCAGGGAGAGAACAGCAATGGTTACCATTGAGGTCTTAGTCGTTATCTGGCAGGTTAGCTGCTTTCATTGGGTGTGAAGGAGCAGAAGAGATGGATATGAAGAGACTGTCTCTATGTTATGTGTAAGCATATGGATAGAGACCGGGCTTGTTAGCCTTTGGCAACAATCATTTGGTTTTTACCCTAGGCCATTCTTTAATAGTAATTTATCCTTTTTTCTTTGTTGAGGTTGACACCTCAGCAGTTGATTGAATAGCCATATACTGACCTCAGCAATGTCTGAATATATCCAACCTAAATGCAAAAGAAACTTGAGTCAGGTCATTATATCAGAGGATATTTTTAATTGGTGTCTTGTGACCTGTTGAGAGCTAAGGCCTAGTTGTACCAGTGGAAGTGTTTGATTTTTTGCAGATGTGGAGGTAGGCCTGCAGCTGCTAAACTAGAAAGGAAAAGAGGTGAGGAGAGAGAAACATGGAAAAAGAAGAGGAGGAAGAAGAAGGAAGAGGATGACAATCAAGCTGAGGGTGAGGAGGGAGAAGCAAGGAGAAAGAAGAAAAGAAAGGATGAGAGAGAAGTAAGAATGAAGAACAAGATGAAGAGGAAGAAGAAGGAGCAGGAGGAAGATAAGGAAGAGTCTGAGGAGGGAGAACAAGGGAGGAAGAATGAGGAGGACCAAGAAAAAGATACAATTATGGAAGAAGGGAAAATAAGGAAGTCCCAAGGTGATTCAGAGTCAGAAGAAAGAACTGTTTATGTTGGCAATGTCCCCCTTGTCACCAAGAAGAAAGAACTGAAGAGGATATTCCTACCATATGGATCAGTGGAATGCATTAGATTCCGTGGTGCACCAGTACCTGATCCAAAGATTCCCAAAAAAGCTGCCATAATAAGGTCTGATTATGATCCTTGCTTATAATTACAAAGTGAAATAGGCCCCCCTTCCCATATTCTGTTCCTTTTCTCTGAATGTGGGTTATGTGTAGAACCCTGATAACATGAGCCCACTGATTACTAGCATGTCATTATTCTAATACTCTTAGCTATAACCAGCATAGATTGACAAAATAGCATATATTTTACAGGAGGCAGTTTCATCCTCAACGAAAAACCATGTGTGCTTATGTACGCTTCATTTGTACTGAAGAGGCTGGGAGAGCTCTTGATGCGAATGGACAGATACTTCATGGGCATCACATTCGAGTAGATTGGGCAGATCCAAAGAAAGATGAATCTGGAAGAGACAAGAAAAAAGCAGTATTTGTAGGTAATGTGCCATTTGGTGAGTGTCATCAATTATTGAAAGTTTTGATATCTTTTGGAAACCTCAGTTTCCTTAAGGATTGTTGATTAAAAAAAAAAGCCTTTTTTTTTATTGCAAAAGTTGGCTGTTTTAAACTGAACATATCCTCAAAAAATTGGCCTTTCTGATTTGAGTTAAATAGTGACTTCCTGAAAGAGTAAGTTTTTTTTTCAAATGTTGATGTGAATTTCTACTATTTTACCCCTCAACTGTGAATTTTAAGGGTGTGGTTGACAATTTTTTTTTTACCTACAAGCTTATAATTTTGGAAAGACTGATTTTTTTAATGAAAAATTCCTTCAGCCATATATTGAAAGGGGGTTTTCCTGGTTATCAGAATCTGGAATGTATTCTTGAAAACCCCTGCAATTGGCTCTTAGGTGGTTCAAGTAAGATGGTGGAAAATTTTGAGAACTCTGGGATTGATATGAATTTGAAGAAATTGATATTTTCTACCTTTTTGTTTATTGACTGGATTATACATACAAGGTGTCTAAAAAAAAAAAAGAAGCTGATGCTGCAAGAATTGATCTTCCTTGTGTAATATTACATTTGAATAAAAAACTTTGTGACTGTTAAACACTTAAAGTTTGAGCTAATTTCAAACTGGCATAGCATCCTGTTTTTCCTGCTTTTAAAGTGTTACTTAGTTCTGAGGACTGCACAACCAACTAAAGGATATGCTTTATTCTGCCTCAGATCTTGAAGATGAAGATCTACGGAAGCATTTTGAGAGCTGTGGAGAACTCCAGAGTGTCAGATTAATTAGAGAGAGTTCCACAGGTTTAGGGAGAGGATTTGGATATGTGAACTTCAAGGTGAGTCTACACCAGCCATATTGCTAAAATTAGTAGCCTTTTCAACAGTAATTTTAATTTTGAGCCCTTGTCAAAAGCAAAAAAAATGGAGCCTGTCCCACATTGCAGGAGGAGGATGGAGTAAAGAATGCATTGATGCTCAATGGTAGTGTGCTGAATGGAAACTCACTACGTGTGATGAAGATAATGAAGAAACCCAAGTTGAAGAAGGAGAAGGAAGGAGTTGGGAAGTATAGAGGTGAGACAATGTTGCAAAAATGTATTATGGGAAGCTTGTCAAAGAATCTCCTCTGCTAGTGGTTTTGTTATGCTTTGTCTCTTCCTTGCTACAAGCATCTAAGCAACAAGCATCTATCTGCCCTTAATCTCATGGGGAGTCATAAAATAGGGAGAAGAACCTTGACTGTCATTCTGTATGAAGTGCTTACTTGATAACCTTGTATTTAGGTCTTACCTGACTGCTTATTTATGTCAATTATAATTCATTGCCAGTGCTCATTCTTTATAATCTAGGTGTGCCAAAAAGAGAAAAGCAAAGGAGTTCTGAAGACAGTCAAGATGATGATCTACAACCAGATGCCACTGGTAAAATTCATCCACAGCTTGATGTGAGTTTCATACTTCTTGAACACCGTTTGTAATTTTTTTTCAGGATATACTTTAGTTATATGCCTCATACTGCATGATTTGCTTTTTGATTTCCATTCCTAGAAGAGAAATCAGAAGAAAGATATTCAGAAACATCAAGGCAAGCAGTCATCAGCAAAAAAATTCTTCCCTAGGACAAACAAGAAGGTATGTACTGTATTACTTTAGTGACTCGCATAGCATATGGCAAAAAAAGGATATATCTATGTCTCTTTTCTCACTAGAGCCTTTTTCCTTGAAACTAATACTGTGTATATATTGGTATGTTCCTGGAGGACCATCACAATTTTACCCAAATTGGTTCTGCCATGGTAAGGCTATGAGCAATTATTAACCCTTTTAGTGCCAGAGTCAATCAGATCAACACTACAAGTTTCATCTTAAAATCCCAGTTGAAGAGCTGACACTAGAAGAGTTAAAGTGAGAGGATGAACGCAATCAAGTGCTCTGGCAGATTACATTTCTAATCAGAATTTCATAGTCAAAATTTTATTGTCAGCTCTTCTATAAGAATTAAGAAGAAAATAGATAGGAAACCCCAATCCCATCAGAATGACTAGATTCCACCTGCCTGATTCTCAATGTAAACCAGAGGAAAATCTGTATCAACTTTGACCATCCATATTGATACTTATTGACCATCAGTCATCAATTGGAGAAGAGCTCATCTTAACCATGTGGAACAATAGACTAGCCCAAGGAATGAATTTCAATTGGTGGCATTTGGACAAAATCAGAGCAAGAAGGCATTTCCAGACATTTTTTCCTTTTTCCATTTTCTTTTACCAGTATGAGTTCTTGTCCTTTTTTTAATATCCAACTTAGTTTTTGTAATAGCCCATAGACTTGCGCTGGTAGAATGAACTTGAATGATATTTCATAAGTCTGAGAAAATTTAAGGCTATTTGGAGTCCCTGTTTCATAACAGCTTTAACCCCTTGCAGTCCTGTTATTTTTAAGTTTCGCAGGCCAAAAAGTCCAATTTTTTATGCTATTTTTTATTGAAATGGCTGCGTGGTTTCAATAAATGACATGAGTAATGATGTTAAATAAACAGAGGACCTGAGAGATCGCGTGTAAGTTTTTTCAACCTTGGGATGAGATAGGACCATATTGCAGTTTTATATTGATAAATTTCATCCCAGGGATGAGGTTGGACCACAAAGGGTTAATAGGGTTGGAGGGGGAGGGGGAAGTATCATCTGAGGGCTGCCCAGAACGTTTCCACAAACATAAAAAAAAAAACTTGCTACTATTTTAATTCTGAGAGTGACTCAGTGAATAGTGGGACTCGGGCTGCATGCTCTAACCTGTTGATGGTGGTAGGTCGCAAGTCATTTGTTGGCTGCCGGCATGTCAAGATGGAGTGCTACAAGTTGCTGTTCCAGCAGCGTTCTATTATAAACATCTTTCACTTTTAGGGCATTAGTGGGGCTGAAATTCATCAGCATGTGCAAAAATTGTTTGATTAAGTAATGAATCAAATAAATGTGCACTAGTGGATACAGAGGTTTAAAGATGGTCAGGTTACAGTGAGAGACACAGAACAAAGTGGTCACCCATCGACTTCAACAACTGACAAAAACAGACCCCACGTGGGTGAATTTGTGAAATCACTCATCCACTTTATTGTCCAGACCTCACCCACTCAGACTACCAACTGTTTGGGTTGAGGAAGAACCACCTTTAGGGTGTACACTTTTCTGGAAGGGAAGATCTTCAAAATGTTGCAAAACAGTGACTTCATGAACAGAACATGGACTTCTACCAAAGTGATATACATTTACTGTCTGCCACTGGGCAAAAGTGCATTGACTTACATGGGGATCTATGTCAAGGACTAGACCAGGTATTGTTGCACATGTGTACAAATTTTTATTCTAATCCAACTAGTAGTAATAATTTTTTTTTTTAAGTTTGCAGAAACTTTCTGGGCACCCTTCCTATGTTTTTAATGTCATAACATGTTATCTCAAGGTCAATGTGAATTATGTTTTTTGTTTGTCATACTCCATATATACTACACTTGATACAAAGTTTCCATAGCGGCAGTGAGATGCCTAAACCATGGAGTCATGTCCATCTGCCTTATTTTGTGTTGTAGTTTCATGAAGAATCACCTGGGGCCTATTTCATAGAATTGACAAGTTCCACAAGTACTTGCAAGGGTTGTGTCTTCTTGTTTTACTCTTGACTATGACATGACCCTTGTAATTACTTGTAACTTGTAGAACTTGTTAATTCCATGAAACAGGCTCCAGGTCTCACGTCTCTCCAGGCTTGAGAGTGAGTTATGAAATGTCAAATATAAAAACCTTGAACTAAAACAAAGAACATGACATGAAATCTTGATGGGGGCAAGCCTCAGAATAAAATTATTAATTAAAGTATTTCATTTCTCAGCATTTATGTCAAATTCACTGTAAAATTTACCACTGCAAAAGGGGAGGAGAGGAGAGGAATTGAGAGCCTTTGCACCCGCACCCAAAAGTGATTTTTTTTTTACCCCCACCTTCTACTCATCCTCGAGTTTTGTATGAAGTGACTTTCAGGATAAAGGATGTGGTTGGCCACTGAATCTAGGGTGCTTTTGCATGAAAAGTATTCATTTGACTTGTGGAGTCATCCTTGCAGCAGAAGGCTTCAAATGAAGAAATCTTTTATAACAGCTGATGTTTGTCCTGTTTCTCTGTCCATTGGAGGCCTGTATGGGTTGATTTTTTTTTAACCTGACCCCATAGGCCAGATTCAAAATGTGGCTCTTACCTAACCCAAAACTCGAGCTTTGTGGGACTGACCTACAGATCATGTTGGGAAAATTTGGCCAGCCTGCAGTCTGCATGAGGTCTCTGAAATGTTCATGAGCACCTGACCAGATCATTGATTGCCAACCCTACACACCCAATCTTCATCCTGTGTAGGGCTCAAAAGCATCCCCTATTCTCTATCCAATACTTGGGCATTCAAAATTTGAATGACATTGTCTGACTGCAGGGGCAGTAGGGGAGGCTGCAGGGTAAAACTTGCTGAAAATTTGTGCACAGGCAATTGGGTTTCCCTGATGACAGACCACATCCCGTAGATTGATCCAAAGCCTGACTGTTTGAAATTCAAACATCACATCTCTTTATAATCCTATGACCTACAGAACTCACAGAAAGTTGTTGCAAAGGGAAATTGAGTGATGAGAGCCATTCCTCTTTTCCATCAGATACCTGGGTGTTTTAAATTTGTTTGATGTGTCTCATTTGAATACTGTGGGACAGAATTCCATTAGCCTTAATTAGAAAGAAGTGAATGGTTCACAGATGACAGCTAGTCCCAAATGAAGTTTGATGTGTAAATCCAATGTTTCCCCAGGGTGAACTTTTGTCACTTGTATTCAGTCAATTCATCATTCATGCACCTTCTTTCTGTTCCTTTTGATAAGCAGCTTTTTGCCTATATGAAATCTCACGACTCAGGAAGGTAAAATATTGAGGAATGGAAGTATGGCTTTAAAAGGAATAACTTGTGGACTTCTTGCAAACAATCCAAGATATTTCATGTATTTGTGCCTAATTGTCTTTGGTTTTTTGCAGCCTTAAGTCTTGAGGCAAGTATGTAGCATTTGCATTCATGTCAAAGTAACACTGAGCCATTTTTTTCTCTATGCAGCACAAGAAGCCCTCCCTACAAGAAAGGAAAAAACGCAAGATAGCTGCGATGCTCAGGAAGTAATGGTGTCAGCACAAGAATGTGATTCAGTGTCTTATATAATTGAAAAATGAAATAATAAGAATGCTGTTGTTGCTGATTGCATTTCTAATACATTTCACATCCATTGAGAAAAAGATAAGGGTATTGGAATCAGCATCACTTAGTTGCCATTTTTTTCCTCACTTCATCAGGGAATTCAGCCATGTTCTTGTAGTAACAATTAAAACAAAACCTTCTTGTATAGAAAATACTACATGGACTCTGCTGACAGACAGCCCTACCACAAAGAGAACAGTCTGCACCAAGGACAAGAAAAAGTCCCTCTCTTGAAGGTGAAAATGGGTCTGGTATCACATAGCAATCTTCAAGAAATGTCACAGCTCTGAAGAATGGAGGATTGCGTCCCTTGCATGAATACTTCTCGGAATATTCACATACGCTGCAGGTGAACCTCTTATCTTCTTCAGTTTCCTCCATGACCACCAGGGATCTTGGTTGCTTCTTCAGGCCACCAATATGGGCAGTAAGTTTCTGCCTTGAGACTGTGGACAATGAGCTGTTCTGCAGTCAGAGCATTCTGAATTCGCAACAATCCAACCCCAAACAAACTTTGAATGCCTCTCAGTTTTCCTACTGATGCTCCTTTCTCATTGGTAACAAGATCATCAGGTGTCCAAGTATTCAAAGGTTGACTAAGCACCAGAGGCATAATTCGCTTCCGCACTACTCCCAAATGATGTACTCTAGATGTGAGCTCCTGTCCAAGGTAACATCCTTTTGTAAAGCTCACACCATGAAGATAGTCTCCATTGCACTCAAGGGGGAATGATTTCCCAGGTGGAAGTTCTGAAGAACCTTCTGCTACACCTAGACGAAAACGTAGGGAGCGATATTCATGTTCATCACCTTTAGCTCCCATAGAATCAGATCTCTTGACCAGATCTTCAAAGCATTTTGGACTCTTCAACAACATTCTATACCCAAGTTCCCCCAGCCTTGGATCCTTCGACACAAAAGTTTCTTCTTGGGTAATACTTGGGATATCAACAGTTGGCCTGGATTGTGCAGTATGTATGCATGTGACAGTGGGAAAGACAGCTGCCACTTTCATAGGCTCAAGCTCAATTTTAATTTTTCTCTTTACTCTATAGATTTTGAAGTGACTGGCAATTTTAGAGGCAGAATTGGACTCACAGTCAACATAGAAAGTAGACCTGTCTTTTCCCCTGTGCACTATCATATCATACATGATTCGACCCTGGACATTCAACAGCATGCAATACATGCTATGATTCCCAGTGTCTGTGAGATGTCGGATATCATTTGTCAATAAGCCTTGGAGGAAGGTGTCTGCTTCATTTCCCTCAATCCCCAACACAGCCCGTGACTCGAGGAGTGCCACTCTATATGAGGATGGCTGTCTCACTTGAGTTGACCACCACCTCTGTAGAGATGGGTTAGAGAATTTAAAGAGCAGAGAGTGACTTTTACCCAGCATAGGCATCTTGTCAACATACCTAAATGTTGAGAGGGATTTCTTTTTTATTATGAAAATCTAAATGTTGAGACTTTTTCTGTTTGCAATTTGTCATGCATTTGCCTCACAATGCTACATCTCTGCTCAGTGTTAAAGGTGACAAAACCAAAACCTTCCCCCATGAATTTCCCTCTAAATATTGCATATTAGGGATTGTATATCATTCTCCTATGAAAAAGCAGCTTGTTTGCATCAAAGAGCTTATTTGGTGCTCCCGCAAGGCAGTACTAGCTTGCGTGCTCTCTCTGGGTTTCTTATTCAGATTCATGTGTTTCACAACTCAAACTGAATGTGAAATTTGAGAAATTCAACAACATGGAGTCTGGCTTGAGAAATCCAACAAAGATGTTGGAGATTCCATTTATTCACACAAATGAATGTCACAGAAGGTACACAAAATATTGTAAGTTGGAGAACACTTTGAGGATCACCTCCATTTTAGAGACTTGGGAATGAGTCACTAACATATCTACATTCCCTTCCTCCATTTTTCCGCATGATGGAAGTTCGTCATGCCTTTACCCGAAACCCCACATGTTCCAACACCAACTCTACCTTGAACAGTTTCTGGCGATGCAAAGATGGATTTCTTGATTACTCCTCGCTTGTGCCCTGTTTTCACTTTTGAAGCAAATGACTGCCATTTATGTTTTTCTGCTTCTCTTTCCTGTTCAAGTTCCTTGTATTTCTGCAATTTCTTCATCTTCTTTTGCTTGAGGTATTCTCTTTGTTTCTTTTGTGAGATGATCTTGTTGGGGTGCTGAGGTCCCTGGACCTTGGAGGTCTCATCAGCAAAAACCCTCTTCCCAGGTGCTTTGGATTCCTTCAACAATACCAGACTCAGCACTTCCATATTTCCATAGTCCATAAACTTCACCATACACTGTCCATCCTCTGTTATTTCATCAATGATGGCTTCATAGTACTGTCCATCCTGGCTCCAAATGGCTCGACAACGGTCACCAACTTTCCAATCTTTAATTGGCTCCAATGGTATCTCTTCATCATCATCTTCTTCAGTAACTCCTGCTGCTGTTCCTGCTTCATTATTCTCTGTTTCCTTTTTCTTAGCACTATCATCAAGGACAAGTTCTCCACTTTGGGCCTTTACCAAATCCTTTGTCAAAGCTATGACCTCCTCAAGATCACTCTTCAACTTATTCAATTCCTCACTCTGAGGGTCTTCTTGGAGAGCAGCAATCACTTGCTTCAACTGAAGCTTGTATGTTACAAGGTTCCCCCTTAAATCATCCATCTTACATGAAAACTCTGAAAGAGGAGAAAATGTGTTAGGATTTTCCAAGTGGTTTGCCTAATCCTGAAGTAAATTTCCATGAGATTTTACACATAGTGAACTCAGACTGACTCAGATCATTTTTGGATTCACTTTGTACTTTTTCAAACTGATTTTGTATACCTGGAATGTTAATTTGATAGTAAAACCTATTCAATTTAGAGGCTTCAAGTTAAAAACAATTAAATGAATCTAAAAATGTTGAAGGTCAATGTTTATTCACTAAAAGCTTAGAGAGAGTGTTAAGTAGTCCAAACCATATAAGAGTAAATATTCAAAAACTGTAAGAAATAAACCAAGCAATTAGTTTAAATTTTAATCCTCCTATAAAGCAATACTTCCTTCTGATTTAGAACGAACAACATGAACTCATGGCTCTCTTCTAGCATTCACGCATATAATTTAGGTCTTCATTAGGTCCCCCAATGGTAGACCAATCCATACATGGGTTGCATTTTTAAAGAGATGCTACATAAGATGCCACAAAAACTCTAAATACCAAATTTATTCATAATTAAAGATCAAACACCCCAAAAATATTGAAATGTAAGCCTAATTTGTACTGCTGCAAAAAGTAGCACTTACCTGTTCCTCCAGAAATGCTTATGAAGTCCAGAATGCAGCCACTTTCTCACAGACCAAAAGATGTTTATATTTTTACATGCTTTTAGTACCAATCATTACCATTTCATGACATTTCATTCATTAGTTGTTCTGTAGTGTAGCAATGAACAAGCTGAGGTTTAAAGTTTTACTTACATGATCCACCAGATTATGTAAGATTTTATGCCATTATCTGTCAGGGAGAGGATATTTGTAATTAAAATATAATAACAATAAGGTTTGATTAATTGGTTAAACTAACTGACAGTTGACTATCAACAAGTACCACTTCTTTCATAAATAAAATATTCCTTTCAAAACAGGTAGCTGCACTTATGCTGCTATCTAAGGAAAACAAACTTTCTTCTATCATATTCCAGCATGGATAGTTCAATTAGTGAACAAACCAGACATGACATTGATGACCATCATGAGGGCAAGCCAGTGATTAGCTTAACACATTTGTATCCATAACAGCGAGTAGTTCAATAGGAAAGGTTTCACAGATAGGCCAGGAGTGCATGCATGAGAGTAGCACCTCAGAGCTCGGGATGCCAAAGAAGGCAATCTGCTTGAGTTTCTGTTGTTTTCTAAGTTTGAATTATGCCCTATTATGAGTGGAATGCTGCTAGAATAAGATACCTTTCTTGCATCTGAACTTCAGGACAAGTTCATACTTTTCAAATTCACTTGGTGCTACTTTTAAACTTACTACCTAGGTCTAGGGTTTATGTCTAATACACATACAGCACTTTCAGATTGTGTTGGTACATATTCTAACTTATTTTGTAGTTATGCAAAATTTTCATTCCAGGCCTAAGCAGCAATGACTCAAAAAGTATAAAATGAAGTTGAATATATGCGAAGTAGCCTTATTCTGAATTCACTCCAAAACTTTGTTGTGGTGCATTTCTATTTCCTGGACCTTCTCCTACACAAATCGGATGACTGGTAACATAGACATATCAGACCATGTATTCACCAGTCATCCCACTTGGCCTCTTTCATTAATATGTTGGCTCCTTGCTTATTGGAGGCTTTACTCCCACTCAACTAGTAGACGAGGTTTTCATGCTCACAGGGATATCACTTCCCACCTGTCGGCCACCTCTAATCCCCTTCGTTGATTTGCTGGGTCAATCAGCGACATTAATGTGTGCCGGAATCATCTGAAAAGGTGTCAGAGTGAGTTGGAGAAACGCACTGTAAGACCAAACTTGTTAATTTTTGTAAAGCACACAACTACTCCCACTCGAGTTTCAGCCTCTGCGCGATGCCATTATGCCATGGATGCTGAAAGTGGAACATACTCTCAATTTTTATTATTCATTCTTCCACATTTCAACTGGATAAATATAAACGATACAAGGGCTATGTAAAAGTAAGAAAATCTAATTTCAATGCTAAGGATGTGCGCGACATCTGTAAGATTTATTTTTTCAGGGATGGCAGTGATGCTCCCACTCGAAGCCAGCGGACGTCAGTCCACAGTGTGACCTCGTGGGAGGTGGAAGGAGGCTGCGTGATCTCAAGTTAAAGTGTAAGATTCAGTCCCGTTGTGTCTGTCGTGGTGGTTCACTTGTGTCATAAGTTGAGCCTGCTTGTCCTGCAGAGAAGAAAAGTACTTATAAGCAAAGTAGGCCTAGTGTAGGCGCACTTGTTTAAAAGAGCACATGGCTAGAGGTTTGGTTTTAGATTCTGAGCACTCCGGCATTGCAACACCTACCATGTGTCTCATGGGGTTGATGGTGAATTGGGCCAAATTGTAGTCTGTTTTCATTTTTTTTATTTTGTCTTTTTACGGATTAATCGAACTGTCAATACTTTGAGTTGTCTGCTGTTGGCCTGTCGGCCTAGTCCAGGTGTGCTACAGATGTAGGCCTAACTTAGGGAAACGCAGTATCCCTAGGGGGTACGCACTTAACCATGACCTTCTTGGGGTTGATCGTTTCATAAAGACCTATGGCCTTGCCCACTGCTACCCAGAGGCCTCCAATTATTTAATTTGACACAATGTCCAAAATTAAATGCTATGGTAAGGAACTTTGCTTGAGCTCTTTGAAAACCTGGAGTTGTATAATTTTAATGAAACCTGTGATTTATAATAATGCAAAATAGGTAATCTATTTTGGTTTTGCTTAGGATTCTTGTACACCTGTAATTGAAGTCATTGACTAGCATGGTGTTAATATCAGATTAGGTCTTGTGGACACCTTGACACATCAGTAGTTCTTTGAGTAATTCCCTTGAGCTCTAGATTATCTTAGACCTTAGAACCTTGGCCAAATTGTGGGACTCATTTTGCTTTAGTTTTTTTTGCGAATATATGTAATTTCCTGATTTAGAATTGTGATGTTCTAGGATGAAGTTTAGTTTTTAATGTTGATCAATATTGAAGTGGTAACATTTCTCAGATTCCTATACAATTTTTTTACAAGAATATATATGTATTTGCTTACTTGGCTTAGGCTGTAATAGGTTCAGGCCTTGCATTTCTTTTACATCTTATAGCTGTCATAACTGATACCACATGGGACAATGTAAGGACTGTATGCTCACAACTTGTGAAGGTCTAATTTATGATTACCTCAGTCACTCTGTGGCATCATTAATGACACATTTTTAATGAACATGTTCTGTGTGACCTAATAGGTTGTCAGGTAATTCCTTCAGCATGGAGTCCATAAAAGGCAGTGTCATATGGTGTGATTCAAAACTTGGTTTGCTGTGTATGTGCCTGGTTATCTTGTGATCATTGTGAACACTGCAAGCTTCTGATCACGTGATAAAGAAGCTAAGAAAATGTTAGCAGAAGACGGAAAGCCAGTTGGTGATGGATCATGGAACTTGAACATCTATGTGACCAACTTGGATGTACAGAAGACCCTCAGAGTGAAGGGAGACATGCACATTGGTGGTGTCATGCTCAAGCTTGTGGAAGAACTAGGTAAGGAGAGTCATCATTAGACCATAGAGGCATTCATCCACCAGTACTGACTTGCAAATGTAATCAGGGCTAGAAAGGCCCTGCAGACACCATGTTTGGACTGTCGCATAGAAGGGAATCCTGTTTCCCCACATGGCATGAAGGGGTGTGGGTGATAAAAGAACTGAGTTGGCATTGGAGGTTCATCCCGATGAGGAAAAGCGCCAGGTGTTTGGAGAGAGATGCTCTTGGGATATGACCTCTAATTGAAGCCTGTGGGCTCTGTCGCCAGTAGGCCACGCAACATCCACATCCAACGGGGCCCGCTCTTTCTCTCTCCCTCTCGCGCTCTTTCCTCTTACTCGGCACGTGGGATGACATAACTCCGCACCGCCCAAGGACGTTCTGACGTCACTAATCCAAGTCGTAGGGGCTGGGCGATGTGTATGCGTGACTCTTCCGCCATGTAGGGCACTACCACTCGATATGCACCAGCTTGGACGGAAATGCCCTGCATTTTGGAAGAACGCGAGGTCATCTTTGATGTTCAAGGATATCAGTTCTTCCTGAGTAGACCCCCATTCCTGCGCGGAGGCCAAAGTCCACCGCGTGATAAGGTGACTGAATTCATTGTACGATGTTCTACCGAAGCCCACGTCATGTGTAGGTGGGAAAAAAGACGTGGGTGAAGTCCACCCTGGCCTTCCTGACTCCGACAGTCCTATTATGGCTACGGTGCACGAAGGGCGTATCCCCTGCTAGTATCTTGTCAGGCAATCCTCTTGCTTCCCCCTTACATGCACCACCTGGTCTCATTCATAGCCTCAGGCCCCCCCATCGCAGCCGTACCGAAAAGTAGCGGTGAGAAGGTCTTTGAATCTTTTTTCATGCCCCAAGACGGAACATTCGAAAGGTCCCACAACTCTGGTCTGTCGAATTAATCCGCGAAGCGTTTGCGCTGTCGATATCCGGCCTCTTGGAAAGTTGACCCTGAAATTCTTCATTTCATTCTTCAAGTTCATTTTTTTTCACTTAGTTTCCACCTCCAACAACAGTTTCGCCATTGTCAACCTGAAAGAGAACAAAAGAGATTTGGGCCAATAATGAATTCACCCTCCAGGGCCTGGCAATATTTTTACGAAGGCATGTCGGGTGTCAGGTAGGGAGGAAGGTTTACAATCAGCTCCGCACGACGCAGTATCGCCGGATTGCCAGATAAAAGTAACATACGGTACGACGTAGAAACATAAAAGTGCTTTGCAGCTTTTTATCTGTGTATCAGGGAAGACCTCATTTTCAGGTCTAAGTGGAATTTGATGATCGTATGCTCGAGGACATGGATTAGACACGGAATGCTGCGTTACAAACCCATCTTCTTCGTGGAAAACAGCGGGGGTCGCGAGATGATAGTTGTCATCAAATGCCGATTCAT